CTTGGAAGGCTGAGGTGGAAGGATCGCCGGAGCCCAGCAGGTCGAGGCTGCGGTGGTCGGCAGCGGCTACTGCACTCCAGTCTGGGCGACAGAGTGAGGCTCCATCTCAAAAATAAATAAATAAATAAAGATGGGAGACTGTGAAGTCATTCCCGTTTTTAAATGTGTATTTTAAAGTAGGTCAGGTACTCTCCTGGCACCTAGAGAAGAGTTGATCTCATTTTCTCTTTATTTTTAGAGTCTTTTATTCAAAACTTCAGCGTTCTCTACAGTCCCTTGAAAAGGCATCTCATTGGAAGTGACTCTACCCACTTACCTTCTTGGCATTTAATCACTGAAGTGACAACTGATACCTTTTGGGAAGTAGTCCTTCAGAAACAGGTATGGAATTGCAAGAGAGGCAAAAGCCAAAATATCCCTATTAAAATAATTTCCATGGCCAGGCTCAGTGGCTCAGCCTGTAATCCCAGCACTTTGGGAGGCCGAGACAAGTGGATTGCCTGAACTCGTGGGTTCAAGACCAGCCCGGGAAACTTGGCAAGACTGCGTCTCTACAATAAATCAAAAATTAGCTGGGCGTGGTCGCATGTGCCTGTAGTTCCAGTTACTTGTAAGGCTGAGGTGGAAGGATCACTGGAGCCCAGCAGGTCGAGGCTGGAGTGGCCGTGAGCGTGGCGTCAGCCTGGATGACAGAGTGAGACTCCAATTCAATAATAATAATAATAATAATAATAATAATAATTTCCAGACCGGATGTGGTGGCACATACCTGTATCCCCAGCTACTTGGGAGGCTGAGGCAAAAGGATCGCCTGAGCCCAGGAGGTCGAGGATTCCATGAGCCATGATCATGCCATTGCACTCCAACCTGAGCAGTAAAGCAAGAGAGACCCAGATGCAAGAAAATCTCCAGAGCTGAAAGTGATTGTTTTTGATGCATGGAAAATGACAGGTGGATTGTGGAACATGAGTGAATTACATGTGGATTGTTTACACGGTTCAGAAAGTCCTTAAGAAAGCACGTAATCTAAAGATAAAATGTTTCACTGTAATTTCTGCATAGGCAGCATTTATTGAATGCCTGCTGGATTCTAAGCATGGAAGAAACGAGCTCGTTTCTCAGGTGCGAGTAACTGCCATTTTCCCCTTTCCACAGGATGTTCTGCTGCTTTATTATGCACCATGGTGCGGCTTCTGTCCATCCCTCAATCACGTCTTTATCCAGCTTGCTCGTCTGCTGCCAGTGGATACATTCGTTGTGGCCAGGTAAGGAAGCTGGTGCACAACACTTTGAGCTGTGTGCCCGTCTCCACTCTTTTTTTGCAGCTTAGCCATATGGTGTGCGAGGGCCTGCCCGTTTTCCATTAGCCTTGAGTAAAACTTGGCTGAATTTAATTGTCAGATTGAAGCCATGAGCAGAGCCTCATTGCAACGGAAATTTTTCTCATGGATTATGAGTGTTCCTCCCAGTTGGTGTTTAACCCTAACTGAATTTATAGGTGGGTGAGTTCAGTTCTGTGGGAGGAGCACTGACCTGATGGCCAGGATGACCCCTTGGACCCCTTGAAATACCGTGGAAGGTGGCCAGCTGGCCCTGGGACTAGAGCACATCTCCCCACCAGCCCTTGTTTCCTCATTTGTGCAATGAAGAAGGGTTGGTTGATAGATAACCATGTTTCTTGTTTTGGTTTGGATAAACAGAAAAATTAAATTTTTTATGGGGGTATTTGGATGAGGCAGTAAGAAGTTTAGGTTAGGGAGGGTGTTTAGCTTTAACTGACCCCCCCAATGCTCCAGATAGAGTTAAATATAAAAGATCAAATCACAGAAAAAAACAGCAGAAGGTAGACTGTTGGATTTGCTAGCTCCTTTGAGAGATAAAAACTCCTAGAGTAGAAGCAGTTGAGAAAATAATGAAAGAAAGATGAAAAGATTCTAATAGAAACATATGCAATGCAAACAAGGAAAACAGACTAGAAAGGGAGACTACTAATATATTTTACAGCATATACATTTCACCTGTTCTATATACTATACATACTAAATAGGACCGAATTTGAGAGTAACTGTGCTGAGAGATTTTTGTGTATCCATATTGTCTGATGTATTCCTTGGGATACTCAGTGAAGCTAGTATGATGGTTATCCCTCTTTTTTTTTTTGGAGTTCGAGTCTCACTCTGTCGCTGGAGTACAGTGGCACACTCGAGCTACCATAGCCTTAACCTGCTGAACTCAGATGATTCTTCTGTCTCAGCCTTCCAAGCAGTTGGAACTACAGGCATGCGCCACCACGCCTAATTTTTTTTTTTAATTGTAGAGACGAGGTCTCACCGTGTTGCCCAGGCTAGTCTGAAACTACTCCTGGGCTCAGGCTATCAGCCTGCCTTGGCCTCCCAGAATGCTGGGATTACGGGCATGAGCCACTGCATTTGGCCACTCTCTTTTTATTGAGGAGGAAACTGAGGCATAGGTTAGGTAACTTGCCAATCACACAACCTTCAATTGAGGGACCAGAGTTTAGAATCCTAAAAACATGTGCAATGCAAAAAGGGAAACAGACTAGAAAGGGAAACATTAATATATTTTACAGCATATACATAGTTTTTATGTATTTTAAACTAGCATATATACTAGTTTTTTAAATTAGCATATATACTAGTTTTAGATCCCTGCAAAATTAAGATGGGTTAAGAAACAGCTGTGAGAAACTCCAATGTGAACCAGGGATGTGAGTAGAGGAGAAGCCAGGCGTGGTGGCTTAAGTCTGTAATCCCAGCACTTTGGGAAGCAGAAGTGAGAGGATTGCCAAAGCCTAAGGGTTTGAGATCAGCCTGGGCAACTTGATGAGACCTCGTCTCTACAATAAATCAAAAAATTAGCCGGGCATGGTGGCACATACCTGTGGTTCTAGCTACTTGGAATGCTGAGGTGGAAGGATCACCTGAGCCCAGTAGGTCGGAGCTGTGGTGACTGTGAGCGTGCCACTGTACTCCAGCCTGGGCGACAGAGACTCTGACTCAAAAAAAAAAAAAGGAGAAGAGAGCAAATAAAGAGGGAAATTATAACCTAGTAAATGTAAGTTAAAACAATAACAGTGTTATTTATACTTACTAAGTTAATAACTGCTTTTAAGTGACAAAATCTTCTGTTAAAGTGAAATTGGCATAGCTAATGAAATGAGTACATTGGCATAACTCTTTTGGAAAGCATTTTGGCAACATTTGCAAGACATCAACAAAACAGTTATACATTTTTGACCCCATTAATTTTACTTTGGGGAGTTACTGAAATAGAATTCCAGAGAAGCATGAGCTAGTTTATAGCCACCAGTAGAGAAATGGCTACATAAGTTATGGTTAGGCATTTAATGGAGGGTTTATCCATTCGTTAAAACAGTGCTTTTCATATAATTAGTTGGAAAGAAGAGAGTATAAAATATGTGATAATTGCTGGTAAAAAAATGTAAGCATACAGACCAAGCCTGAATGAGAACCTCAGAAAAAGGGTCCCAATTAGCCCAATGGAATTCTGAGTGGATTTTTTTTTTTTTTTTGGTGGAGTCTTACTCTGTTGCCCAGGCTGGAGTGCAGTGACACCACTTGTGGCCACCACAGCCTCACCCTGCTGGGCTCAGGTGGTCATTCTGCCTCAGCCTTTCCAAGTAGCTGGAAAAGCTCTGTCGCCCAGGCTGGAGTGCAGTGGCCGCTCCCGGCCACCACAGCCTCGACCTGCTGGGCTCCGGCGATCCATCCACCTCAGCCTTCCAAGTAGCCGGAATTACAGGCATGCGCTACCAC